TTTCGTAGCCGTATCCGTCCTCCTCTTTAACTTTTCCTTGACATCTTGCTGACTTGTTCAACCACTTTCCTAAATTCTTGCCGCACCTATTTGACTTTCCACCCTTTATTCTCGTCGTATTCTGCAGATATTATTCCACGCGCGCTGTTTTGGGTCACGGCCCGCGCGAGGAGGTTGGTGCGGCGGTAGGGGGCAGAGCGATGATATTGGTCCCCAGCAGAGGGCCTCTTCTCGGGGGGTAGCGCCGTGGCCTTGCTGCCCTGACACTGATGGATGGAGGTGTTTATGTAGTAGACCACAGACAGACAGGCTGATATGTGTCCCCGTTTTACCTTATGGAGAGCAGAGGAGAGGCTGTGTCTGCAATAATGTATGAGAGCGAGGAGAGATACGCAGGGGCGACTTGTTCAGAGGTAACAGCTTTTGTAATTAAAGGGACACTAAACACCAAAACCACATTTTTTTCCTACTGATTAGCTGTGTAAATGGGTCCAAAATAGAAGTGTGTACCTTTCCCTGGCTTTATTTTGTCATTTTAGTGCATATTTGTATTTGTATTCTGACTTTTAGGTCAAAAGCCGTGTCTGTAACGGCCTCTTTAGGATCAACTACGACACTGCTTCTCTATTATTTCCTGCCGTGCCCCCCCCTCACACCTAGTGCCTCCGCTCAATTTCATTTCTCCCCAGCGACTAGGTCAGGAATCAGAATACACTAAACAGTTCGCAAAAACGTTGGAAGTGCAAGTTCGGGCACCAGTGAAGAGCCATATATTCAGTGTTGACAACGGTTCCAGAGATCGAGGATCTAAAGATGGAACAAAGGGAATGTTTCGTGAATTTTAACAAGGGGAAAGACGTTATCGCCCTTCGGGATTTGGGAAAAGCTTAATATACCAGTTAGCCCCGTTAGTGGCGCATTACATACGTGACTACCAAACAGCAGCGACTGACTACCGTCGAGCGAAAGAATCCTAACACTGCGAGGTCAGACAGTTTCTACAAAGTGAAACACGGCTTCTACGTAGTGAAAAGAAGAAAACATTTTGTGCCCCTCCACTCTCAGCCGCGACTATAAATAGTGTAATTTGTAACATTAACCCTTCACAAAGTGGGGATTGTGGACAATATTCGGTACATTTTCGCTGAAAAAACTCAAGTAGCTGATCACACTGATTGGGGTATAATGTCTTTAAGTGACGCCTTAATTTACTTGGCCTCATGCTGTCCGCTCCCAACTTTTTTTGACACAGTAAACACACCGGTCCTTCCTCATTTCCCACCGTTGTCACAGTGAAGCTGAACACTCTTGAGGGTTTATTCACTGCACTTCATAACTCCTGCTTTGAGCTTTGTGTGCGTATGCTCAGTTAAAAAAAACCCGACACTACACTGCCAACTACTGTAGTGGATGCGCAATTACACTTTATTCTAGTACAGCAAAAAAAAAAAACATGTTCCCTGAGGTCACACGAGCTCATCTGGCATCACACAAAGTAAATTTTCGGGTTGGACTAACGGACACCAATGAGTCAGATGCGGGTTATTACATGACAACCGCAGCCACTTGCGTCTACGGGCGGTAGGTGAGGAGCCCCTCTCAGACCTGGCAACGCTGGTCACCGCGGTTTCCCGCCGTGTCTGGAGAAAAGAAGAAAAGAATGACTGGAAACAGCTTGATCCGAGCACAAATGTCCGCTCTGTTTCAAAGTCTGGAGCGCACCGGTCCACGCCGTGTTGGATTGTTGGCACTGTCAGTCGGCTGTCAATCATCGCCCTACACTCCTGATCTTGCTTAGGGGCGGAGTAAAGAATCAGAATCAGAATCAGAATCAAATTTATTTGTCATTCCAGTATAAAAAAAAAATACACAGAAACGAAACAATGCACTCAGGTCCAGGTCAACAGCAGCACAGATAACAATAAGAACAAATAGTTATAATAAGAATAAATAGTTATAACAAGAATAAAATAGTTAAAAATATTGTATGTCAACCCGCCCCCATTTTCTAAAGTGCGTTCCAAGTCAGTGCTGTTTTGTAGTGTTTTTTCTGACAGAATTAATCTGTCTCACGGCATCAGGATAAAAACTGTTCCGTAGTAAAGCTTCGAGATGGCTTTTTAAAGGTGCACTATGTAACTTTTTGGGCCGATTATGTATTAACGTGCCTATGCCAGGTTGGTCTACTCATTTAACTCACACATAGTTAAGCTCATTTCATTTACATTACATTTTTTAGGTTTCAAATTTTACTTCCCGGTTGGAAATCACGACGTCACACTTGGGAATTCCATAACTGTGACCCAACAAACCATATCGTTCATCCATAGAAACAACCGACAATTTACACAGTGCGCCTTTAAGCTCGGATCTGTTGTCGAGACGGTGACTCGGCACTGGCAACACAACTATGGCTTGTAATCAAGAAGGACGTCGAAAGCAGATATTTCAGACAGAATAAAAAATAAAAAAGCTGACATGAATCCGGTCACATACAAGCAGTTCATTTAGCTGTGGTTGTTTTCCAAAGCGAATGTTGTACTTTAGGTGATTGGAGCCACAGTTCCTCCTCCAAATGTGATGTAAATGTAATCAGGCCGACGCAGAAAGTGCTGAGTCGTACAGCGCCGCGAGAGAGCGAGGGAGACGTGTGTGTGAGAGAGCGCAGAGGACAGATGCTAACACCGTTCCTGACTAACAGTGCCTGCTTTGGGGAAGTTTTAGTCCCAAATCTTTTTTAAATCTAAGCTGCTACCTGAAGTCTGAGTAACTTTTTAGTTGAGGATTTGTCACCTGCTTGTTTTTGCAGATTATGCCATTATGTTCTGCCTGGAATTATAATTATAGGTGGTTTTACAGCTCAAAAATACCTAGAAAAACTGGCATTGTGACTGAGCGGGGTCGCCTCTCCACAGATTTGACCTGTAACTTGATCTTTGTTTGGTCTACATAAAGAAGGAAAGGTTTAATGCCATACTGTGAAATATTCCAGACAGTGCAATAACATCTCCAAGGAGAAAAGTATTTCACGGACAATTCACCAGAAAAGTTACACAATACACTTAATATAAACAGGATTTTGAGTTAGTTACCGTATTTTTTGGACTCTAAGGCGCACTTAAAATCCGGCGTGCCTTATGTATTAATTCTCTTTGTACTTTCTGACCTTGAACTGATTTTATGTGGTACAGAAAAGAACACATACGATACAGAAAGAACACGTATATCTCTCCGAGTCGTGTCCTTTAGGCCGACAGAAGCTGAATCGCATCAGCACACAAGGAGTGAGCTGTTTTTTCAACACTTATAGTTTATGCAAATTAGCCATGTGGTTTTAAGTTTTGTTTCTGTAAAACGTAAACTAATGTGCACAAAGCTGCATCAAACACATTATTACTCACTGTGTATTTGAGTTGTCCTCGTAGAAAAAAAAAAAAAAAAGATCATTTAAATTTTCCACCCACATTCACATTCATAGTACATGTTCAATAAGACGGGGAGGCAATGCCGGGCGAATTACACCATGATCTGCCAATGGATCGTGGACACCTGGGCTAAGGCATCAGTCTCAACTGTCGTCCGTTTGTTTATGCGCCTTATAATCCAATGCACCTTATGTATGAAAATAGACGAGAGAATTCAACATGATTTATACTGAGCCTTATTATCTGGTGCACCTTATAGTCCAAAACATACGATACTTATTACCTGATTACCTGATTTTTAAGATTTTGAAATATAGCTTATTTTATACTTTTTATTTGTGCGTTTTCAAGGTTTAACAAATGTACATAAAAGAACACACAATTTTTGGGGTTCTGTAAAAAATGGAAAAATAAAACACATTATACCTTGGAGTGAGCATTTTAAATAGATCATTTTGACCATCACTTCTCAAATTTACCAGCTTTCAATCTCAAATAATAAGTTATTTTTTCCATCACATAAATTTCCTACATTATATCTATCCATCGTTGCCATTTCAGTGGGTCACTCTTCAGCCCATTCCTTGTTATTACTTTCTTCAAGAGCATCACTTTAAACAAATAGAAGTCCTCATTTCGAATATTGTTTTCATGCAACAAGCCTAAGTACATAATCTGTGGGTCAGTGGGTATTTTATAGCCAAATACCTCTTCCATTATGGTGAAATATAGCTTTTACAGGTCCTGTATTACATAACACTGATTCTTGTGAGCTTTATGTTCTGTTACAATGTTGTTACCTCATCAAAATCATACCTGGAGTTGTATTTTGTTTCACTCACACATGTTTGAGTAGTTTCAGTTCAGACAGATTTAAGGCAATGACTCTCAAGTTTCTAGACCAGAAAGTCACTTGGATGTGTGGCAAAACTTCTTCACTCTTCTCAGGTCAACTTTTATCCATCTGATAGAATAAAATGTTCTCTTTACTATCGCTTAGTTACTAAATTTACACCACTGAAGTTCTTAAAAATCACAAATCACAACAAAAAAACACCAATATGCAGTTTATTATTATGCTTTTGCTATCGAGTAGAAAAACAGAGAAAAAAAATCTGAATTTTCCAGAAGTCAGATCCCAATTTAAATTTTATCACAAGTCTTTTTCTTTAAGGTTTCCATTTAAAGGTGCTATATTACACTAAATTTACTCTTTTAACCATGTTATAATGCTGTTACCTCATCAAAAACATACCTCAGTTTTGTATTTTTTTTAGTCACACATTTTTGAATTTGATCTTTATTATTAGTCTGTCTAGCTCAAAATGATCTATTCCACCTTATGATGTCATGAAGTGGTAGTTTTCAAGTTAAAAACAACCTTTTACCTTTAGTTCAATAGAGATCATCTTCAATGTCTTCAGATGTGTCGATCTTGTTATAAATATGTCTTCAAACATCATTCCCAGCCACAAATGTAGGAAAATATTGGATATCGGCTAAAAAAGATCGATATTGGCCCATCTGTATTATTATTATTACTGAATACACAACTCTTTCTCCGTCTGTTTGCAGGACGTCCAGATCGTGAGCACGGATGAGAACCAGGTGTTCTTGGCGCTGCAGGAGTGGTACCAGACCGACACGTACAACCTGTACCAGTCTGACCCACAGGGGGTGTACTACTCCCTGGTCCTGGAGAATGTCCGCAGCACCCAGCAGCCCGAGGAGAGCACCCTCATCGACATACTGGAGGTGAGCTAAAAATGTGTGGTGCTCGTGTTTTGTGACGATATCAGCGTTACAGAGTAGAGAATATCTTAACAGGGAGTGGGAACTAGTTTACTGCAAGTATGCTTAAAATTCTGCAGTCGTAATGTGATTATGTTGAACTCAAATTGGATCTAGCAAGCAGGATTTTTTCATTTGTGCCAAACTGGATTCCAACATGCATCAATAGGTCTGCTTCAAGGCTAATTAAGGTCTAGTTATTATTTATAAAGCTATAGTTATTGTTATGTATCAGGTCTGGGTATCATCAAGAAGTTGCCGATACTATACATACCTCGATACATAAGCCACAATACGATACGATGCATATCTCGATACAGTAAGCTTATGATTCAATTCACATTAAACAATATGATAAATCGATATTTCAACATTTTTGCACACCCCTAATTATTATTATTTAAAGGTGCACTGTGTAACTTTTGTAGTAGAGCAGGGTATCAAACTCAAATTGACAGAGGCTAAAATTAAAAACTGGGACTAAGTTGTGGGCCAAACTAAATATTTATTGAAAAATTTCAATAACATCTGCATGTTTTCTCTTCTTTCAGGATATGTAATGTTAAACCTTTTATTATTAAAATAAATGTTTAATAATAGTTTTTCTTAAACACTGAAGCTAGAACAAGCATAATTTAAAATAATAAAAAACTCTCCAAAAAAAAGTCTCTGTAGCCTGTGGCCAGCTCTAAAACATATTTGATATGATCTCACGGGCCAAATATAATTGTATTGTGGGCCAAATTTGGCCCCAAGGCCTGAGTTTGACATGTCTGTAGTAGAGGGTCCACCACCTGCTTTTCTTCATGGAAATGTTATTGTCTATCTAGACAACTACAGGATACATAACAGATCAGATCTGTGGAGAGGCAACCCTCTTCACAGAGAGAACTATTGTATTTTTGAGCCATAGAAACACCTGTAATGAATAAAACGTAGATGTGTTTAATGCCATACCATGGAACATTCCAGGCAAAGCAGTTACACCTCCATGGAGACAAGCCAGGTGACGGACCCTTCTCCAGAAAAGTTGCACAATGCACCTTTTAAAAAAGAAAAAAAAGAGCTAAAATAATTGCAGCCTGATGGTCCTTCTGGAATAAAGGTTCTGCACTTAAGTGAGTGGTCAAATTAGTATGAAACATCATTTATATCGCACATAGTTAAGTAAAATATTAAATAAATGACATTCTTTCTTATGGAGATTATGTTTTGCTCAGATGCACTTCCAGTTTTTATTTGGCGTATTGTTTCTCCGTTGTTGCTTTGATAGTGCGGCGCTCGTTTGTTGTCGAGGGGTAGATAAACAACACTTTCCCTGGGCCCACAAAAATGATTTTCCTAAACACACAAAGTCAGAAACAATTTATCCAAGACGGGAATAAGGGGAATCCTTTTTGTGTGTGTGTGTGAAAGCAGACGATGTAGGCAAATAAAATAAAAACTCTGCGTCCCTGCCCTCTCTAAGTTAACAGAAAAGTACAACTGAAGTGTTTTGATCTGTTTTCATCGATGTAAAAGATGTAATAGATTTGCAATTATTTACATTTTAATAAAAGTTAGTATTAGTTTTGAGATACGGCGAGCGAGCCAGTGCGCTTCTGTACACAGAGCCTATTGCAAAAATCAATAGGCTGTGAACCTGATCCGCAAATAAAGTTGGAAATACTGACTCAGATACAGGTGTATTTTGAAGTGAACAATATTGAGGCTTGTGTTACATAAAAAAACAAACACGGGTCTGGAGGAATCACAGCCGCTAACATCTGTTTCCTTCTCGTATTACTCAATCAGCAGTGTGTAGCTTCATACTTTTGATTTTTTCAGGCTGCAGCTGACTATTTGCGCCCGAGTTAAGGCTAACATGAGGTCCTTGTGTTACAAATTCATGTTTTCAGACTCGATACAAACTTTTAACTTTTACGATTTTTAACACTGAGGACGTTTCATTCATTTTCACTTAAAAAAACTCAAATAGCTGGTTAGGTAGAGATGAAGCCATGTGAAATTGGTTTAGAGTGGATTGCACATTCCATATTCTGAGCTGGTAGAAGACTTAATAATTCATGTTCATGGCAGATTATGTATTGCAGAGGAATATGCACAGAATTGCATAAGGAATTTGGCTGCTACAGTCCTTCAGGCCTTGACAAAACTTTCAGTGAGAAACTGAAATAAAACCCTAAGCCAGTTCCATATTACATTTAATACTTTTTAATATTAGATAAATACACCCCCCAAAAAATTCAGTATTATAAAATTAAAATCTTACCAAAAATATGAATATTTATATTGCTATGGAGGTGTTATTGCTTGGCCTGAAATGGTCCACAGTTTAGCATTTGACGCATCTGTCTCTGTAAACAAGTAAGTTTATTTTTCATGTTTATGTTTTTTGAGCAATCAAAGGTTGATAAGATAAATAAGTTTAATGCCTTACTGTGGAACACTGGTGCAATCAACGTTTAATTTGTTGAGAGCATCTGGTTCAGGGATGTCAAACTCAAATTCACAGAGGCCAAAATTAAAAACTGAGACTAAGTCGTGGGCCAAACTAAATATTTATTGAAAAATTTCAACAACATCTGCATGTTTTCTCTTCTTTCACAATATATAATATTAAACACTTTCTTATTAAAATAAATGTTTAATAATATTTTTTCATAAACATTGAATCCAGAACAGTTTTAAATCAATAATGTCTCTATAGTCTATCTGTAGCCGGTGGGCAGCTCTAATACAGATTTGATATGATCTCATGGGCCAAATATAATTATATTAGGGCCAAATTTAGCCCCTGGGCCAGAGTTTGATATTTCTGATTTAGCTAAAGGGTTAAAAGACATAATTCATAAGTTTGACTCTTAATGTGCAGTTTACAGCATCAGAATCAGTTGGTAGAAATTTTAAAAAATGATGCAACTGATGCAATTTTTTAATACTATTTCAGTCTACAGACTCTCTAAATTCTCTGTATTTCAGGAATTCTTGCCTGAATTTACAGCAAAACTGTATGTGTTTTTGTTATAATTTCAGGTCTAAATTCATTGTGTCTTTTCAAAAATATAATTGTTTAGCCCTGGTTGCTCACTGTTTAAAAATGGGCTGCTAAGAAAAATGTAAAAGGAAAAAAAGTGTGATTTGTAAATCTTGTATGAGCACAAATCTTCAACCAAAAAGATTGACAAAGGATAAACGTTCTGTCCATGAAGAATTTATCCACAACTATCAAGGTAAGAAAGACGAAAACTACTGGGCAAAACTAACATTATGGTCATGAATAAAACATAAGTCACTTGTTAACTCAGACTGATTCTACAATTAAAACAAAAAAAATCAACATTTCCACAGATATTTTGCCACAGAAAAGCATTAACCGGAAGTCCCGCAAACCTACAGCAGGGTACTTCCGATCGTTGTGAAAAAGGTCTATTATGTCTTTATGAGGTTTTTGCCTTGTCATGCTAAAATCAATAATAGTAAGATTAGGACTTTTGAGTGTTTAGAAAGATTTAGTTTTCCTCTCAATCTTAATGTTAATGCTAATTTTGAGTCACAATAAATATGAAAATAACTCCACAAATTGAGATAATCTACATATAAGAACAGTAGTGGGTAGTCTTCTATTTTAACTGGTTATTTGTTTTATATTTTTTGTCCTTATGAACCCGATCCACAAATACAGCTGGAAATCCTGACTCGGACACAGGCGTAGTTTGAAGTGAACAATACTCGACACGTGTTACGTAAGAAAACAAGCACGGGGCTGGAGGAATCGCGGCCTCTTTTAAACGTCTGTCTTCTTCGCGTACGACTCGAGGCCCTCGACGTGGAGCGCTATCGATTTGAGCGAATTAAAGTTTAACGGCCTGCGGTTTCTGTGCTAGTGCTTACTTTTGACCCGTTCAAATGATGCATAGCTCCAAAAACACGGGGCATTGTGGGTAGAAATATACTCCCCGGGTGGATCCCAGAAGCAGACACTCAATCAATGTGCAGCACATAAAGCTCAGTCAACAGTTTGCTCAGTCTGGTCTCTCGTCTCAGTGTGGGTGATTCTGTACAGAGTATAAAGAAAACGTCAATTCAGCTACTTTTGGTTTTCATTTTTGTCTCATTACATCAGAATTCTACTCTCTGATTAATGTGGTATGAAATTGGGGAACAACAATGCACTTTTTCGGGGTATTTTTAGACAAATTAAGACATGCAAGACGGTAAGTTAAATGCCAAATACTAAACACATGGACACAAATAGATTTATCAGCCGGTTTCTACGAAGTGAAAGTCTAACCTCGCAGCATTAGGACTCATTCGCTCGATGGTAGGCGGGTACTTTTTTATTTAATTAATCGCTGCTGTTTGGTTGTGACGTATGTAATGCGCCAAATCCCGTAGGAAGAAGGGCAATAACGTCTTTCCCCTTGATAAAATTCGCCAAACATTCTCTTTGTTCCTTCTTTAAATCCTCGATCTTGGGAATCGTTGACGACACAGAATGTCTGTCTTCGTCTACATCCATCTCGACCGCTTTGTTTACTGTTGTGCTGTTCCACGACATGGACACCAGACAGGCGCTTGAGTTTGACGTCATGGCTTCACAACTCTTCGCTGATTGGCCGGTGCGCGGTCTACAACTTCCAGTATTACGATTTCTGACCTAGTCGCTGGAGAGAAATGAAATTGAGCGGAGGCAGTAGGTGGTGGCTAACAAATAGAGACAAAAGGAGCCAAATTATGTGCATGGAATGAAAAGAAACTACTCAAAAACCACCGCACACTACAGGAGAATTTGCCCGATTTCGGCTCCGATTTGCTTCTCTCCGAGTTTGGAGACGCGTGACCCGACATTTGTATCTTCGTGTGTGATTTTGAAGCCGCTGTGCTCCTCGTGTGTGAGTCTGAGCTGCTCTGTCAGATCATAACAACCAAACATCAGCAGAGCTACGGTAACACCCAATAAAACAGAGCGTCAGGGGCAGATGGAGTAACAGACAACAGGCGCAAGATACAAAGTCAGGAAATAGTGAAAATAATGAGGAGACTTTATTACTCACCTCTCGTAAAGTGGTAAATTTAAAGTGCAGCATCTCATCCACATTATCCATAGAATTTATCGTCCGCAAATTGTGGCATCCAGTCCACAAAACCGCACTGTTAATCCAGTTTGAAGCGTTCTTTGAAAGTAAAAAGGTGGGAGTAGTTCCTCACGTGTGTCTGTTTACATCCACACAGCGCACGGATCGAGGTGAAGCTGCAGATTTGCGATAGTGACTCTACTTCCTGTGGAATTATCACCAATCTTTTATGCTTTAAAAATCATGTATCTGAAGTAGGGATGGGCATTCGATGAAATTTTCTTAATCGATCGTCGGAAGAATTAACGATCGATTATCGATTAATAATTAACGTTTTTATATTAAAATTATCATCATTATTATGACTATCTGCACTACTAATCTGCATAAATAAATTCAACTTTACGACGTATAAACTGTAACGACTCTAGAGCCACATCAGCCCGTTTGACATTATAATGTGTTTAATTCAGTTTTGTGCAACTCTCACAGAAACGAAACTTAAAATCGCATCGCTAATTTGCATAAACTCAGCGAAGATAAAACTACAGCTCTTGTGTCGCTGATGCGGTCAATATCTGTTGGATTAAAAGACATGACTCAGTGGAATACAGGTTAATGTGGGGACTCGTCATCGACATTGCGCGACTCTCACCTGGCAAAGCTTTTTCCCACTGGACACCGAAACATATGTGCTGCTTTATTCACTGTGCACATGGACTCACACTTGTCCCGAACGCAACGGAAAGCGTGGAATTTCTTGTACAAATCATCGTTAAATACACATTTGTGCTTCGGTACGTTGCAGACTGACCGACTGTTTCTGTTTGCTCGCTCCTTCTGAGTTTGGTCACGCTACACACAGCAACCTACATTCGGTTTGTCGATTAAAATTAACGTAATCGATGAAATTCTTAATGATCAATTATCGATTAATCATGCCCATCCCTAATCTGAAGTATTGCACCACATTTCACAAATAGTAATAACACAGTTTTGTCTTGTATCTAAACTAGAAGTGCATTGCTCTGACCTTTTGAACACTTAAGAGTCTCAAAGCGAGTGGTTTTACTGTAGACAGGAAACAGCTGACACGATCGCGCTCGGAACTTTATATCCTGTTGTACGCAGACGAGTCCCACTGCAGAGTTTGTGATCGGAGATTTTAAGTCTCATCAGATTCTCCTCGTGTCTGTGGTGTCCGCTTTTTGTTTAAAAATCGTTTAAGACCGAAAAATCCTGTAGTGTGTGGCCGCCTTTAGACATAATATGCAACTTTTCTGCTGAAGGTCCACTCTTGTGCATTATTTGAAAGGTTCCACAGTATGACATTAAACTGATTTATCTTGGATTTATTCAATTACTGGTCTTTTCATTGATAATAACAAGAAACCAGGAAGATTACTTGTCCATTTAAATGCACATTCAAAGCATCGTAAAAAAAAAAAAAGATTTTGTGTCAATGTATAGTATTTACCCCATTACATTCCTAACCCTAAAATCTTGTGTTTTTTTTCTCTCCAGGTGAAAGGGGTCAAAGGTGTGTTCCTGGCCAATCAGAAGCTCAACGGTAAAGTCACTACGGTCATCACCTACAACAAGGGCAGGGACTGGGAGCACCTGACGCCGCCTGCCACCGACATGAACGGGAAGAGCCTCACCTGCAAAGCGGTGAGGAGCTGCACATTCAGATAAAAGAAAACAAACAAACTCAAGTCTTTTAAAATGAATCAGCGGGGGCCTCATTTAGAGCTTTGTAAATGAGGCTAGAACAGGGTCAAATCCAGTCTACATCAACACTGAATCCGTGTATCATTCATTCATTTGTTTTTCAAAATAAAACCAAAAATAATTAAATGAAAAAACAACTATTTTCTTCATTATTTGTCTCCAAAACCAAAATGAAAAAACAGATAATGATTTGTCTTTTCAGTTTTTCGATTTTGTGTTTAAATGAAAAATGGAAAAAACAGATAACAGCCGTTTCCCGTTTACATGACTTCCGTGACTGCGATGCCGGACTTTTGCACCACATACGGACTGAACCAGGACTGATCCAGGTCCAGGACCAGAGCAGGACCAGAGAGGGACCAGGGCAGACTCTGAGCTTTGACTCCGAGCCTCCGCGGGGTCCGAGCCTCAGCTTCGAGCTCCGGCCCTGCCGTGGGCTCTGAACCTCCGGTCTGGTCCCAGTCTGGTCCCAGTCTGGTCCTCAGCCTGGTCTCGGTCTCAGTTCCGGTCTCAGTCCCGGTCTGGTCCCGGCCTGGTCCTGGTCTGGTCTCAGCCTCAGTCCCGCTCTGGTCCCGGTCTGGTCTCAGTCTCGGTCTGGTCCCGGTTTCAGTTCTGATCTCAGTCTGGGTTTGGTCCCGGTCTGGTCTCGGTCTGGTCTCTGTCTCAGTCCCGGTCTGGTCTCGGTCTCAGTCCCGCTCTGGTCCTGGTCTGGTCCCGGTCTCAGTAGCGCCCTGGTCCCGATCTGGTCCCGGACCAGTCCTGGTTCAGTCCGTATGCAGTGCAGAAGTTCGGCATCGCAGTCGCGGAAGTCACGTAAACGGGAAACGGCCGTTATCCGTTTTTTTTCCATTCTTCATTAAAACACAAAATCAAAAACTGAAAAAACAAATCATTATCTGTTTTTTTCATTTTGGTTTTGGAGACAAATAAATAATTCTTATTTTTGGTTTTATATTGAAAAACGAATGAACGAATTATTACACTGCACCAAAGTCCTGCACCTTTTAAGTTTCAGTTTTGTTCAAGGTTAAAATGTTGACTTATGATTTTAGGGAAAACTATAAATAACGTAAAAGGGCAATGCACATTTAATCTGCGTTTACCAAGAGTAAAAAGTGACTAGAACATACTTCTGTCTTATATTTATTAGTTGTTTTTCTAGTTCTGAGTAAAAGCCAGATCGAATTTTGAGCTTTGACTGTCCTCTATCAAAATGCCGAGGCTGTGGTTGCTACGCTTCGTCAGTGCTGTCTGAGTGGCTATACATCACCATTCACCCAGATGCCATTCCCTCCTGTCTCCACGATCACTCACTTCTAACAGTCACTTCAGAAACACGACATATTTCACATATTTGACCTTCTCCGACATGTTTGTGTCTGAGCAAAACAAACCAGTTACTAACAATAACCCTGGGTCTATGAAAAAGGCTCTGAACATGCTATTTTTTATTATTGTTATTATTTTATTTGTATTTATTTTTTCATTTTTTCTTGAAAGATGGATACAAAATAATTATGTTCATACATGTGAATGAAAAGGAGCAGATAGAAGTGTGGACTATATAATATCTGCCTCCTTTTCACACAAATTAAAACTTCTAAAATTTCTAACACTTCAGCAGTTCCAACTACATGTATAAGAGGCATATTTACATGACATAAACAATATTAAATACTACATATCATGTTTGGCATTTCTTTTAAACACTTGGAATAGATTTTGTTCACTAATGACACGGCATAAGTTTCTTGATCTGGTGTTTCTTCTCCTTCTTCTGACATGAACGTAATAACTATGTCAGTGTAGTCGTCCCTGATTGGTTGACGCGGCATGTCCAACGCAAAGTTCAGCATTTTCAATTTCTGACGCCGACGCCCTAGAAGCACGTCCACATAGACTTTTTGCATGTAAACTGGACGACTTGACACAGCGGTCTGAACACACTATAAGAATGCATGTTTTTCAAGGTATCTTTAATTAATAAAAACACTTATGAATGAATAAATGTAAAATAGAGTAGACTAGTTTACCGTATTTTTCGAACAATAAGTCGCACCAGCAAAAAAATGCATAATGAAAGAGAAAAAAACATATTTAAGTCGCACTGGACAATATGTCACACTTTTTGGGGGAAACTCTTTTTGTAAAATCAGAGACCAGGAACTGACATTTCATCTTGAAAGGGAAGTTATAGTAAAAACAATAGAACAGAGAACAACAGACTGTTAACGTCACATATGAACAGTTCTTCAGATAAATATAACATAAACAACAGAACAGAACAAGTTTAACAAACTCTCCATCTCACTCCAAATCACTAAATCCTGTCGTCAGACTCAGCATCAGTTCCAGTTAGAATTATTCCGGCCTTTCTGAATCCCGACAGGATGTTTTTGATGTCACTGAAGTCCAGGCCTTGTTGATCCATCCAGTGACTTCCAGGAAAGTTGTATGGTGCATCCTCCTTCCTGATTGTCGTGAAGCTGCGTTCTCCACCCCCGCTTTCCGACAGTCCCTCACAAGTTTCTCGCTCACTCCAAACTTTCTTTCTGTTGCTCGATTACTGTTTTTGGCTGAATATTTGCAGCAGGACAGCGGCTTTTTCTGCAGGAGACATGTGCAGTAGAGTGAAGTGACACTGATACAGGAGTAACAGGAGCAGCAGATACTGACACACAAGACTAGAGCGCCCTCTCATGGTTGTCATTGTTAAAATTTTAATATATAAGTCGCGCCAGAGTATAAGTCGCAGTACCACCCAAACCAAAAGAAAAAAAGTGTGACTTATAGTCCAAAAAATACGGTAATGTTATACTGTGAAACATGGCGACATCTAGTATCGAATGCCTCTTCAGAAAAACTGAAAGCAAAGTTTTGATATTTGATTGCAATAGCAGTAAACAAATCTAAATAAATAAAAGCGTAAAGTCTTGCTATATGATTTTGGTCTTTGCGTTTCTAAATCCTGCGTGTCTTTTATTTGAAGTGCACGGGCCTCCATTACATTCTGTTTCAACAGCCGCTCTGAGTGTACTTAAAGTATCATTTAGCACCATTAGAAAGCATTGCACTCAACTGTCTCTCACTTCCACCACTAATTCAACATCAATTATGTATTTGAATTGAGCGCAGAGAGATATAACGTATAAGTGAAATTACATAAAGGTTTTACATGCATTAGAAAGACTGAAAAATGAAAGGAACTCTTAAAAATCACCAGACTAGTTTTCCTAATTTATTAAAGGTGCACTGTGTAACCGCCTGATTGTCTTATATTAAAGGAAAATGCTTTAAGAAGGGGAAGTTTCACAAGTCAGATCTGTGGAGAGATGGTCCTGTTGTGGAAAAAATGATATATCTATTAGTGATAAATAATTAATCCATTTGCAAAACCTGGTGAGTTTTTCGAATACAGACAAAGGTTTAAAAAAAGTCGCAACGAAAACACAATCGACAAACTGTTCCTACATAAACGAGAACGAAAACAGACGTCCGGACTCACCAGGGCAAACAAAAAATAAGACTAGGCTAAGAAACAGCTAACAAACCGGTGTTGGACCCATCAGGAGGCAGATGCCCATCGCGAGGATTAACGGGAAAAGGCGAGGGAGGGAGAAAGCGGAAGCACACCGGACTCTCGTAATTTAAAGGGTCCTACGCAGAAAGAAACTTTAAACATGCTAAAATAGGAATAATCCGTGTATCATTTGTTTTTCAAAATAAGAAAAAGGAAAAACAAGTATTTTCTTCCTTATTTGTCTCCAAAACCAAAATGAAAAAATGCATAATGATGTGTTTTTTCAGTTTTCGATTTTGTGCTTAAATGAAGAATGGAAAAAAACAGATAAGGGCAGTTTCCCATTTCTGTGATTTAAACTGCGATGCCGGACTGAACCAGGACTATAAAACAGGACTAAAACGGGACTGAACCAGCACTACACCAGATCTAAACCAGGTCTAAACCAGGACTAAACAAGAAGTAAATCACGACTAAACCAGGACTGAACCAGGACTAAACCAGGTCTAAACCAGGACTAAACCAGGACTAAACTAGGTTTAAACCAGGACTACACTAGGACTACACCAGGTCTGAATCAGGTCTAAACCAGGACTGAGTGTCGGGACGGGCCCGGACGTGTGCCCTCATAGACTGTCGGGTGATCGGGACTGAGACTGGGACCAGACCAGGACTGCGACCGGGACTGAGACCGGTTTAGTCCTGATTTAGTCCTGGTTTAGTCCTTGTTCAGTCCGGCATCACAGTTTAAGTCACGGAAACGAGACTTATCCATTATATTTTTTTCCATTTTTCATTTAAACACTCAACTGAAAACTGAAAAAACAAATCATTATCCGTTTTTTTCATTTTGGTTTTGGACACAAATCATGAAGAAAATAGTTGCTTTTTCGTTTTCTTATTTTTGGTTTTACTTTGAAAAATGACTGAACGAATGATACGCGGATTAGAAATAACTTACAAAAACAAAGCTGTGAAAAACGCTACAAAAAACAGACAATAAAAGATATACAGAAAATAAAATTCACACAGATAAGATGTCCCCGCACTGTATATCGCAGTCGATATCTAAACTTTTCTTCTTCTTCTAACTTCTTCCTTGTGTTTTTCTTTCTCTGCAGCCCGACTGTCACCTCCACTTACACCTGCGCTGGGCCGATAACCCTTATGTGTCCGGTACGGTGCACACCAAAGACTCCGCCCCGGGCCTCATCATGGGAGCAGGTCAGTGACTACAACTACAGGAACTGAGAGGGGACAATTCTATTACTGAGAGGCACTGCTACAGCCTGGTGAGCCGGGCCCGGGGGAACGGTGGAACAAAAGCACTTTATTTATTGAACTATTTGGTGTTCTTGTTTTTAAGCCGGTGGAAGTAAAGTAAAGTGACCCAGGCAGAGAGGGCAGGCTACGGGCATACCACTCTCTCTCGGAAACTTTTCTAGAGAAATTGTGGAGTAGCTCTAAGGGTTTGTGCAATTTCTATAAAGTCTATACTACAAACCGCCAAATCAATTGAGACAACAGCCGAGGACCACTGGACCTATACTTTTATTTATTTAGCAATATAGCTTTCAAATCATTTATGACTTTTCTTTAACCTGTTTGCAGTGGTCCAGATTTATTTGTTCCTAGCATCCTAGTCATTCACAGTGATGATTTATGAGCGATTTTTACAACTTAGTACAATTCCTGACATTCCAAACGCTTTATAATTAGGAAGAAAACAGCTCCTTTTGACCCTGTGAGCTACATAACAATTTCTATTATACATATTATTTATTTAAACTTGATTTCAGAGGTGCTGCTAGTGGTAATTTTGTACAGGACATGGGGAACATCATAACTCCAAACCTACCGTATTTTTTGGACTATCAGGCGCACCGGATTTTAAATCACAATATCAGTAATGTTGAATTCTGTAGTCTGTTTTCATACGTCAGATAAGTCAAACTAGGATTGGGTGACCTACAGTATTTTCTGGGCTATTGGGCGCGCTCTTAAGCCTCCAACCCCATCAAAAAACAGCCGCGCCCCACAATCCAGAGCGCCGACTTCAGTAAACTACAAAGTCGCACCACCCGCAGAGCACGCAAACACACACGGAGCAGACAGCGACCGCACAGCGAAAAACACCCACAGACACACTCATCACTCCACACAGACGAGGAACGGAGGAATGAACCGAAAAAGCGAGTGCAATGTGCCACTTCTAGACACAACTGAACAACTGAGTCACTGCGAACACGCCGACAATCCAGCGGTCCCAGACAGCACCCTCCCTACACGCCACAACTGAACAAAGCCCAGAGTCACCGTGAACGCCACAAACAAAGTCCCACTGACCCATCCAACTGTTGTGGTGCGGTTTATTTGTGAAAAAAGTTCAAAAATAGACCATTTAATGACAATGCGCCTTATAACCCAGAGCGCCCTATAGTGCTGAAAATATGTATTATCTATATGTATTTATATGTATTTCTTTTAACTGCACGGGGAGATGAGGCTCAATTAGTTTCATTCTGTTGTGGGAGACCAAGACAAGACGGAAAGTCAGGCCATAAGCGAGTTGGTTCCAAAAAAAAAATACTAGTACTTCTGCAATGTGACAGCATTTTAGCTTCAGGCGCACATTTGTTTACGTTTTACAGAAATTAAACTTAAAACCACATGGCTCATTTGCATAAACTATAAAGCGCTGATAAAAACGGCTCGCTCTTTGTGCACTCATGCGGTTCAGCTTCTGTCAGACTAAAGGACAGGACTCAGTGGAATATGAGTGTTCTTTCTGCGACAGAGGGTGTTCTGCTGATGGTGAGTCTGTTCTGTGCTTCTATCGCGTTGGAGATGGTTCATGTTAAACTTTTCAGAGATTATTCATCTGCAGGTCATACACATTGACTGTATAGCGGTGCGGCTTCGGAGCTTACCAAAGTCATACTAAAACATTTTGGTAGTAGAGTGAGAAGGTTTAACCATATCAAAATGTATACCTTCCAACCCTAAGTCAAACTTTATTCAACTCATTCACAATAACTCTCAACATTGTTCAGTTGTAACACGTAAAACACAAAACAATACACTCACTTTCTCAGTTCATTCCTCTTCTACAAATCCATCAAATTCTTCATCTTCAGTGTCTGAGTTTAACAGTTGGGCGATTTTGGCATCAAGCCCGGATCCCTCTCGTCAATATCCGAGTCAGTCTCATTGCTTTTACTTTGCTGTTCAGTGATGATTCTGGCCTTCGTGAAAGCTCGGACAACACTTGAGACTGATCCCTTAGACCAGGCATCCAGGATCCATTGGCAGATCGTGGCGTAATTCACCTGGCGTTGCCTCTCTGTCTTGGTGAATGTGTATTACACTAGCTCCTTGTTTAAAAATAACCTGCAATAGGCGAAATCAGCTTTATTTTTAAGGCTGTAAAACCTCTCACCACACACTTTATACACTCTTCTCAGACAGGACAGTTACAACCCTTTTTGCCTCCTTCTTAAAACTTATTGCTGCTGTCGTCCTTAAGTTATTTTCCTCCTTCTTTATGTAACGAACCGAAGATTAAGTTATTCCGTAATCGCGCTCTACAGCCGTGTAACTTCTACCTTCCTTCAGCATGTCCAGAACTTTTTGTGGCATGGTCTGCGTCTTCCTCTATGTTTTGGGTGTGACCACAGGAGACTTTGACGGTGCAGAATGTTTCGTCGACATAGTTGGTTTTGTCGGGGAGAAAACTTGCAACGTACAGCACTTAAGAATCACACTGCTGGAGATCGAACATTTATGTAAATTTGGCAAACTCTGTATTGTACAGGCACGAACAATGGTCTACAGTCCCTTAACCAATCAGTACGCAGCGGGAGGAACACATCATGCATTCATACACTGTAAAAAAGGAAGCAAAATAACACACAAAAAAATCCATGTAACAGCGAGGCCGAGAAAGATGAACCGTGTTATAGTGAGGGACGACTGTACTCCGTGAGGCTCCTGACTACGGTAGCCCTAATGCTTCGACAATCGACCAAGCAGTGCGGATTTGTAAGTAAACCAAAGTCATACAAAAACACTTTGACAGATTTCTGAGCGCCGTGTACCACATAAAATCGGTTCGAGGTCAGTAAGCACAACCAGAATTAATACATAAGGCGCACTGTCGGTTTTGATTAAAGGAATTTAAGTGCGCCTCATAGTTTGAAAAATATGGTAGTCCAGGAATCACACCTAGAATCTTTTTGTTGGAGGGCAGGAGCTCTAATCACTATGCCGCCACACCACCACACCATTTCTGTGAGCTATTTTCCGCTTTTAAAACCCCAATAAACCCAATCAATTAAAAACCTAACTTCCTTTGGAGTAAAAAAAAAGAATGACTATTGACATTTGTGTTAACAGGGTTATAGCGGATTAGCATTGAAAACAGACCTATATTACAAAGTTTAGACGAGCCATTTTCTACTTTGTGTTCTACAAACTTTTTCATTTGTCACTCATAATCAAGGGCAACAAGTTCTCTATAACTTCACAACTTTTCAATTATACAGTTGAAAATCAAGCGCTGATTGTTTGACCTTACACTTTATACAGTCAACAGAAGACAATTTCATTTATGAATAAATTAATGTTTGGATCTAACCAGAGGCTGAAATGGAAAGTTACAGCAATCTAAAGTAATGTAGAAATGTTAACCTTGGTGACTCTCTGCTTTCTTTGCAACATGGAAATAGATTTGCTGATCATGGTTTAGTTGATTTTCTTTTTATTGAATTGGACTTTATTGTGCTCACAGCTGTTCGTTAAATAAATCTGATTTTGTTTTTAATTCTAATGATCTAGTTTCTTAATTAGATTGTGATTTTAATTATGATTTTAGTCACTTCAGGTATTCTGATTTGGATGATTTTGACTTAACTGATTCTGATTTTGGTGATTCTGACTTTTTTTTTTACTTTACTTTTTATTATTTTGATTTTACTGATTTCCATTTTGTTGGTGTTGCTGTTTTTCAGATTTTGCATAAGATTTTAATGATTTTGGTAATTCTGCTTTGGATGATTTTGACTTAACTGATTCTGATTTTGGTAATTCTGACTTTTTTTTTTTTTTACCTTACTTTTTATTATTTTGATTTTACTGATTTCTATTTTGTTGGTGATGCTGTTTTTCTGATTTTGTTTAAGATTTTAATGATTTTGGTGATTCTGATTTGGATTATTTTGACTTTACTGATTCTGATTTGTTGACATTGCGCCTTCTGATTTTTTTGATTCTGACTTTGATGATTTTTTGATGATTCTGACATTAGTGTTTTGTTGATTCTGGCTTTGCTGGGTACTTTTTGATTCAGTTTTGTTGTGATTTGTTTTGTTGTATTTTAGGGAATCTGGGTTCTAAACTGGTGGAGTACAAGGAGGACATGTACATCACCTCAGACTGCGGCAAGACATGGAGACAGGTACAGTGTACAATTTTTATGATGCAAACTTAAAATATCCAAACTTAACAACAACTTTGCAACTTTGTTTTGATAGGTGTTTGAAGAGGAACATCACATCTTGTACTTGGACCATGGAGGGGTCATTGTGGCCATCAAAGATACATCCATACCACTCAAGATCCTCAAGTAAGATTTATTTTGTCACATAAATTACTTGATAGAAACACCTGACTGATTAGTTTAGACTGAAAACAGCATTTTCTAGCTATAGTGCAATATCCAACCAGCTTAAATTCCTCTAAACAATAAAATTACCAGACATTTCATGATTAAACTTCTCCCTTGCTGTTGTTGTGTTCCTGGGCAAGGCACAATACTTCTTCAGTCAGTGGCTGAATTTGAATGTCAACTCTAGTCCCTTACTCATTATATCTCCAACGTTTTTCCTCCAGTGAGCTACTTTTATCAAACAAAAATGCCAGAGCGCTATCCATTTTAGTATTCAAAAGAAATGTAGTACATATATAAGAGCCGCAGCGAGTTTTAGATGGGATAGACGCCTATAAACCATAGACCATTATCTGTTTATTAGTGCTGTATTTTTCGGACTATAAGTCGCTCCAGAGTATAAGTCGCACCAGCCAAAAAATGAGCAGGACCCATATTTTAAAAGTCACAAACTTTCAAGACCCAAGTCAATATTCGTAAGTCACAAAATAAACGTGGATTTTATTGACTGAGTGATCGTGTCTCTCTGAACAATTAGTATTACTCAATTTTTAAACAATAAAAAACAGAAACTGAACCAGCAATAAAAGGATCCATAAGTCGCCTATTTGGACATTAAACGTAGCATTTCAACATTCCATTGAACCTGCAATATTGCACAAAATAGTCAAAGAAATAATTACAAAAAGATTAGAAATGATACAAAACCTGTCTTAATATTTCAGTCTACATGCAGATCGTGACAAGGTGACCCAAAAAAAACTCTTGCAACTTGTAACAATAACCGAAATATCGTGATATCGCATCGTCAAAGTTCTCACAATAACATCGTGGACCATCACAATATATCGAATTACAAGTCTCTTCGCTTAAATTAAGAGTTATGGTGCAGCAATAGCTAAAAAAAAAGACAGAGGGAACTACATAGACCATGATCCTTTGCTCCATTTCATTGTAGACTATAGGGGTGTGCAAAAATATCGGAATATCGATATATCGTATCGTTTAATGTGATGATATAGTATCGATATCGTGGGCTACTGTATCGATATATCACCAAGAGTATTTTTTGGTATATTTTACTAAATTATTTTGTTCCAGCGCTACAGTTTTGTTGCTTGTGGAGTGAAAGGAAGCTCATTTATTCAACACATTTGACATTTTTACTGTTTTGATGATTAAAATGTTCGTGTTTCATATGAACTTTGCACAAGAAGTGGTTTAACAAAGACTTTTAGTGTCACAGCCATGATTTAGACTTTATTTTTTATTGAACCGTATCGAATCGATTTGAAATATATCGTATCGAATCGAAAGTGCACTGTATCGAGATATGTATCGTATCGTGGCCTGTGTATCGAGGTATGTATCGTATCGGCAACTTCTTTATGATACCCAGCCCTAGTAGACTACATGAAGAAATAACAATTCTAAGCACTTTTAAGTCTTAGTTCTTTGAATTAAGTCTTGTCAAGGCATTTTAAAAGGAAAAAGTGGCATATTAACAATTTTATTCACAGCCTCCACAAAATATCATAATAAATATTGTATTATGAGGTTCATACCGTGACAATATTGTATCGTGAGACTTTGATATTGTTACACTCCTACTAACAACCATAACCACTGGGGACCCATATTTTAAAAGTCACAAACCATCGTGACTCAAGTCAATAGACATTATTTGTAAATCACAAAATAAAGGTGGATTTGAGCATTACTGAACATTAATGAGGATATTTTATTGTTGACTGAGGGATCGTGTCTCTCTGAACAATTAGTATTACTCAAGTTTTAAACAATGAAAAACAGTAATCGAGTAATTGAACAAGCAATAAAATGTATCCATAAGTCGCCTATTTGGACATTAAATGTAGTCCTTTTCTTTTTCTTTTCAACATTCAATCGAACCAGCAATATTGGAACAAAAAAGTCAATAAAATCATTACAAAAAGATCAGAAATTATACAAAACGTGTCTTAACATTTCAACCTCCATGCAGATCGTGACAAGGCGACCTAAAAAAACAATCTTTTGCGATCCAGTCTTTGGGAAACAATGCTCTGGAGCACACTCGGGTAGGGAGGGCGGCACACTAATGATCGCAGGTTTGATGAATTATTAATTTAAAAATAGACTGGATTATTCAGCTTTTGGTCTGAATGGGGACACTATCAGCCTTTGAACTGCTGAATCCAAGGTAAGGCAACATTAGAACTTTACCTCTGGATTTGGAACGCAGCTTTTGAGCGGTAAACTTTTCTTTCTTTTTTCATTCTGATAATAAGTTTGATCCAGTAAAGCTATAATTACATTCCCGTTAATACACTTTCAAACTGTCCTTCGGTGTATTAGAGGCCTTCATATCACTGCCCTTCACCGGACCCCCTCCCTCTCCTCATCCTCTCCATTCGCTGTGATCCTATCTGCCCTCCTCGCCGAACGCCGCCACACATAATGAGAGGAGGCCAGATAAGAAAGACATTCATCAGGCCGTCAAATCAAACGACCTTTCCGACAGGGCGCCATCTGTCTGTGCGGAGGGGCGTCCTTCACAGACCTCCTCCCCCCCGTCCCCCTAAATCAATAAGTGGCCCCGTAGAGCAGCCGAGGAGAGTTTGGAGGTGGAATAAGCAGACGTTTTGGGTAGTTATATAATGAGCGTAATTCAATTTGGGACTGCTCTTTTAAGGCCGCGCTTTCTCAAAGTTCATTTCGGTTAAAGAGGATTAGAAGTGAGATACACAAAGGAGAAAACAGCCAACAGCCCAAACAACGTCTATTTGTCAGCGCCGGGAATAATGTCTTAAACTAATGAAACAATAACGCTAAAAACAATTAGGTGATTTGATTAAGAATGGTTATAATGTATGAGAGGCTGAGTGGATGGATTTAAATCAGGGGTGGGCAATTATTTGAAACAGAAAGTATTGTGGAGGGCCTGGCCAAAATGCTTAACTTAATTCTGCATAATATTAATTGTATTTCTTTATAAAAAGCAATAAATATCATTGTTTTGACGAGCTATTCAGTCTTGTAAGAGTTTATATTATGACTAAGCAATGAAAAAGTGAGGTTGCTTTACAAAAAATGTAATTAAAAACACATCTAAAATAAAAAGCAGTGCAGCTTTAGTCCATGCATGAGGCAAAATTATAAAATATGTTTATTATGTAATTCCAAATAAGTTTAAATAGGTCGTATGTGACCCAGGAGCTGTACAATGCCCAGATATGATGTAGATCAGGGGTGTCCAAACTTTTTTCATCACGGGCCACATTTCTAAACACAGATGAAGCAGAGGGCCGATCGAGGGCCGTAGACTGGAGCTCAATACAGTGAATAATTGAAATATGTGCATGTTTAACACTTTAGAATAAGCCATCAGTCTTTATTCACTCTAAAATTCTCAAACCACACATTAAATCTTCAATATTTGCTTTATCAAAGTAGATTTTCAAAAAACTTGCGGTAAAAAAGTTCATTTTTAATTGATGCAAAGTAATATGGGCCAAATCACCTGGAAGCCTGAGGGCCAAGAAAAATTTGTCCGAGGGCCGCATTTGGCCCACGGGCCGCACTTAGGACATGCCTGATGTAGATGGTTAGTCACTTTTGTTTAGTTTTTTTTGTCATTTATTTTTATTTGTATCTATAAGCTTTAGTTTCTGCCTATATCTGGTCATTGAATTGCTTAGTGTTTGATTTGATTGCAAAGTTCTACATAGAATAGAATAGAATAGAATAGAATAGAATAGAATAGAAAGCTTTTATTGTCATTATACGGTATAATGAAATTCAGAGCTACTCCGTCAAAGTGCAAGAATTAATAATAAATAAAACTAATTAACAGTTCTCATTCAGTATGGTGACAGCTTTGAGGAAGAAGCTGTCCCTGAGTCTATTGGTCCTAGTTGTAACTGACCTGAAGCGCCTGCCAGAAGGCAACAGCTGCTGAATAATATGTTTTGTTTTATGGTAGAGATGTAACAATAACCGAAATATCGTGATATTGTATCGTCAGAATATATCGAATTACAAGTTCCTTTGCTTAAATGTATGGTTTTACAGTAGCAACATCTTATAAACATCAGGAACTACATATCCCATGATTCATTTCAGTGCAGACACATCTTTTTTACTTGAATTCTTGGGATTATGACAGAAATAATTCACATCAAAATCTTGTCAAGGTACAGTATTTTAAAAGCAAAAAAGTGTCCTATCTACAATTATATCAGCTTCTCCAAAATATCGCAATAAATATCGTACCGTGAGATGCATATCGTGATAATATCGTACCTAGAATTGGATATCATTACGTCCCTATTTTATGGGCATCAGACTGAAGCTAATGTATGTAGACTGTAGTGAGTTATACACTAGGGTGACCAAACATCCGTTTTTCCCTGGACATGTCCGTTTTTTGCGTCCTGTCTTGGCCGTCTGTTTTTTTTTGTTTTTTTTTAAGTGATGGAAATGTCCAGATTTTCATTACCGTTCATTGGGGCCATTAAGTTGAGCGTCTCTCTGTAGCTCTCTGTGACTCAGAAGGAGCGAGCAGACACAAACAGTTGGTCAGTTTGCAACACGCCGAAGCACAAATGCGCATTTAACAATGACTTGTACAAGAAATTCTCCATTTTCCGTTCCGGTCGGGACAAGTTTGAGGTCATGTGCACAGGTTGCGATGTGAGAGTAGCTCAACCTCTCACCCCCGGTAAAGTTAGGTTAAAAAACAAAGAGAAAAGTTGGGTGGCAGTATTACCAGACAATGATCTAGAGCAGGGGTGTCAAACTCATTTTGGTCCGGGGGCCGTATCCAACCTACTTTGATCCTAAAGGGGCCGGATCAGAAAACTCAGGTCATATAAACCCCAAAAATAGCAATAAGTTCAAATATTTGTGCAGAGAAACACAAATCTATTGCAGAAATATTTTTTAATTGATGAACTCTTTCTTTTACAAAATATTATAATATTATGAACAACCTGAAACTTTAAGAAAAATCCTATTTCAACACAAAGTTTTAACTTTAACTTGTATGTAAATAGGAATAAGTCAATTTTTCTTGGAAAATTCTGCATTCGGCGTCCGCTTTTCTCATTTTTGACATTTTGCTGATGAGGGTGTCACGGTCAACAGTCAAAACGATCGTCCTTTAAGAGCGTTTGGAAAGAGCCAAGACTTCATTTGTGCTGCTCTGGTGGGAGGGGCCACGTACAGAGACGCTGGAGACGCTGCTGTGATAAACACCACAGAAAATTACCAAGATTTTAATAGAAAATATAATAAAATTATTTGAGTAGAAAATCAGCTGAAGGCCAGATTAAAGGTCTTGGAGGGCCGCATCTGGCCCCCGGGCCTTATGTTTGACACCTGTGATCTAGAGTAACTTCAGACACAGATTAAGTTCCATAGTCACTTATGTTTTTATTGCTAAAAAAACAAAAACAATGCTGTGTTCAGATCTCGGAGTCAGGGCCGTCTGGGTTACAAGCAAAGTCTATGGGCCACGTGTTTCTAGGCTTGTCCAACGTTTCTACTGCTACTATTAACCTGAAGATGAAGTTGGCCCCCCATCAAATGCAAACCTACACTAATCTCTGTCAATTGTTTGTGCTTGTTTGCTCTGTTTTGTGCTGCAAAAAGTTTAGTTTGTGCTGCTTTAGTTTTTGAGATATTAACGATTCTTTTATAGGTCAAATTGAGGTCAGCCAGCCCCCAGGAAGCTTAAAAATGCTGTAAAACGACCCAAAATGATGTCAGTCGTTTGTGACAATTTTCATTTATCACAGCACAAAACAGAGCAAACGAAATACAAACGTTCTGTATAATTTTCTTTGTTTTGAGGCTATTTAACATTTTGAGGGGCTGGATGACCTCATCAGCCAAAAATAAAACTGCTAATATCTTAAGAACTGTAATCACACACACAAAACTTTTTGCAGCACAAATCAGCACAAACGATTGACACCATTTTGGGCAGTTTTAGAGCATTTTTAAGCTTCCCGGGGGCTGGCTGATCCCAATTTGACCTATAAAAGAATCGTTAATATCTCAAAAACTAAAGCAGCACAAACAAAACTTTTTGCAGCACAAACAAAGCATGAATGATAGACATAGTTTTTGTGTAGGTTTGTGTTTGATGGGGGGCCAACTTCATGTAGATAACTACTACTACTGGGTCCGGTCAAGCGATAATGGAGGGAAACGGGCAGATTTTTTACATTCAAATGTCTCTTATTCAGAAACTAGAGGGACTATTGAAATAAGTAAAGTATTAGAATGTAGGAAAGAGTTACACTCCAACAGGGTCAAGTTAAACCTGTGATATTCTTTCAAATTGTTGACAAAAAAATTTAAAAACTCATGTCGGTAATGGAGGGAATGAAATATGCAGCACTTTTTGGGCAATAAATCCAAACAGTGATAACTCTTGGTTCTCACTTACATATCCTTAACAAACTGGTTTGAATATTTGCTTCATATAGTTTTCTACCATATGGTACAAGATTAGGTTGAAAAACCTCTTACTTTTTGAGTAATGAGATTTTTTATTAAGAAAGGTCATGGTAACGGAGGGAAAAGTAACGGAGGGAAAATTGTTCAAACAAGTAGAAGGCGCACGATTTTGCATAATGTGTCAGCTTTTTTCTTCCAAATACTTTAATATTACTTCAAAATGAAAAGTAACTATTTCTATAAAATATGTCAGTCCTTCCAAGCAAATTTTTATCATTTTAAATATATATTTTTTTTAATCATGTACCTTAATCAACAGTTCAAAGATCAAATAACACATGATATAATGAAATACATCCATTTATTTACATGATTTGAGGTCTATGAAATTTGGGAAATAATTTTTGTTCCATGTTTCATACATGGTCTGTTTAAAACACATGTAACTTTAGAACCAAAATGGTACAGAAAACAGGTAAACAGTTTCATAAACTAGAGTACATATGTATCTGTTCAATACATTTTTATATCAGATGCATTAACTTGAATTTTTGACCTTGCTGTTTACTTCTGCTTGACCGGGCCCAACTACTACTATTACTACTATTACTATTACTACTATGTGATGTGATCAATAATGTTTAAAATTCATGAATATCTATTGTGGATGCTGGATCAAAGTTTCTTTTATTTAGTTTTTTCTTTGTTGTTGTTTTTCAGTGGCTATAATGTCAGACAATGATCTATAATAACTTCACACACAGTTTTAACTCTCCCCAGACACTTCCTTCATTTGTTTTGCCAGTGCGGTGATGTGAATAAGTCGTCATCTTGTTCCCAGGTTCAGTATCGACGAAGGACGAACCTGGACGGTGCACAACTTCACCAGTACTTCAGTGTTTGTGGACGGACTCCTGAGCGAACCAGGAGACGAGACGCTTGTCATGACGTGAGTACTACATAAACACACAAAAATACTTCAAGAAAACTAAGGGAAAAAAAAAAGTAGATTCTGTATTTGGAGATGTTACGGTGCAGTTAAGCCACATGCAAAATCTTAAAGCTGAAGATTGTCGTGATTTAGGTGGTAAAGTATTTCAAATCCCATTCTATTAAGTTCAAACTGTTGTTGGGTCTTAAAGCAAGACTCTTAATCCACTGTCTCACTGCCTGTATGAATGTGTTTTTTTGAAAGAGCAATTGATAGTGGGAAGAGCAGGAGTTTAAAGAAAGGCAACCACGGATCACTGCTAAATCAAACAATTATGAGGAACAAATGCACCATATTTTTCTGGACTATAAGTAGTATAAGTCGCACTTCTTGGGGGCAATTTATCATATGAAAGCAGAGAGCAGGAACTGACATTTCATCTTGAAAGGCAAGTTCTAGTAATAACAATAGAACAGAGAACAACAGACTGTTAACATCACATATGAACAGTTCTTCAGATAATTATTTGTTTGATTCATCAGCCGGTTTCACTTCGTAGAAACCATCTGACCTCGCAGTGTTAGAATTCATTGGCTCGACTGTAGGTGGGTACTTTTTTTATTTAACCAATCGCTGCTATTTGGTCGTGACTTACGTAATGCGCTGCCACCGGGGATAACTGGTATATTAACCTTTTCCTAAATCCCGTAAGAAGAAGGGCAATAACGTCTTTCCCCTTGATAAAATTCACCAAACATTCTCTTTGTTCCGGCTTTAAATCCCCGATCTTGGGAATCGTTGTCGACACAGAATGTATGACTCTTTGCTGATTGGCTGGTTCCCGAACTCACACTTCCGGGGTTTTTGCAAACCGTCTAGTGTATTCTGATTCCTGACCTAGTCGCTGGAGAAAAATTAAATTGAGTGGAGGCACTAGGTGACAGAACAGAACAAGTTTACCAAACTCTCCATCTCACTCCAAAATCCATTGAATTCTGAACTCCGCGACCTCCGGAGGTAAACAGAGCGCCACTTCTATCGTCAGACTCAGCATCAGTTCCAGTTAGAATTATTCCGGCCTTTCTGAATCCCGACAGGATGGTTTCAGTCGTCTTTATAAGTTTGTTTAAATGTTAAATTTTCAGTGGTACAGAAGAAATGGTGCGATCGACTGACATGATACAGACGGGACACAGGCTCTTTCTGCAGGAGACATGCGCCGTACAGCCAAGTGACAGTGGTACAGGAGGAACAGGAGCAGCAGATACTGACACACAAGACTAGAGCGCCCTCTTGTGGCTTAATATATAAGTCACACTGGAGTATAAGTCGCAGGAAACACCCAAACCATGAAAAAACGTGCGACGTATAGTCCAAAAAATATGGAAATATATTTTGAATCATTTAAAACCCTAAAAATGATCAAAAATGAGGGGCATTGTCATAGCAACTAACAATTTAAAATGATAGAATTTTGAATGGGTAAAAATCCTCAAAATGGCATCCATAAAGGAATGAAACCTCTGAGTAGAAAGTTTATTTGGAAAATGAATGAGCTTGGGTTTTTCTAAGCAGCTCTTTGAAAAATGGTCATATTTACTAGAATGAATAAAAAAAATAATATTACATAATTGTTAGTCTGCCGGTAGCTCTGCACACTGTTTGTGGCGCAGCTCCACTCACACCTCCAGCAAGGTCGCGGTGCTCCTCTGAACTTATTTGCACATTTTTCACACTTCACAGCCACTTTCTCTCCTCTTCCTCCTCTTCTCTCTACATCCTCGGAAAACTTCTCGTCTCCTTGTGGTTGATTCAGTGACTGGATCGTCCAACTTATTCTCAGTGGTTGAAATCGTACTGAAAAGTGGTATTCGAGTAAAAGTAGAGTCACATGTCTAAACAGAACTCAGTTACAAGTAATGCATCCTGAAAGTTGTGAATCGCACTTATAAACTCATCATGGGGAATAATTACGATGGTCAAAATGCATAAAGTAGGTGAAGAATAACGTTGAACCACTGCAAACTGTTTAAAATTGTTCTGTTTTCACATTTGAATGCCGGATTCGCTCGAGATTAGTATTTCCTGTGGGCCTTTGGTGATTTGTAATAATTGCGGAAGATCCCTGAGACCTTAATCCCGTACGAATGGTCCATGTTTGTAATTTGTAAACTAAAAATTCTGTTGCAAATTACCTACTAAATTTCACCAAACACAGACGTCCGGTGATAAAACTACTCCCGTGTGAATCTGCATCTCAGCGTTTGTTGTTGTAATTGTGCCTTTTTTAGCTTTTTCTGGTCTTTCCGCATTTTTTTCTCTTTCAATCTCAGTGTCAATGTTGGTAAAATAGAGTAATTTTTGGACTTTGCTTATCCCATGCGAATGCTCTGCAAGTAACACAGAGGTGGGGCGGTAATTTGCGGGCTTAAGACTGCAAAAATCAGGTACAACACCTGGAGTAAAAGTATAAAGTACAGATGAAAAATATTACTCAAAAGTTCTAGTTACCGTATTTTCCGGACTATAAGTCGCTTCAGAGTATAAGTCACACCAGCCAAAAAATGTGCAATGAAGAAGAAAAAAACACATATAAGTCGCACTTTTTGGGGAAATGTATTTTGTAAAATCAGAGACCAGGAACCAACATTTCATCTTGAAAGTCAAGTTCTAGTAAAAACAATAGAATAAAGAACAACAACAACTGAATAGGTGTTAATATGTTAATGTAACATATTAACAGTTATTCAGAAAATTATAGCATAAACAATATAACATAAGTTTACCAAACTCACGATCTCACTCCAAATCACTAAATCCACTGAATTCTTCATCCTCAGTGTCACTTCTGCACGACCTCCGGAGATAAACCATAGATCCATGATGTAAACTGAGCGCCGCTTTCTCTTCTGTGTAGCTGTCGTCAGACTCAGCATCAGTTCCAGTTAGAATTATTCCGGCCTTTCTGAATTCCAACAGGATGGTTTTGGTTGTCATTGAAGTTCAGGCTTTGTCGATTCATCCAGTGACTTCCTGGTTGCCGTGAACCTGTGTTCTCCATCCCCGCTTTCCACCAGTTTCTTACAAGTTTCTCGCTCACTCCAAACTTTCTTTCTGCTGCTCGATTACCATTTTCGACTGAATATTTCACTGTTTGCAGCAAGGCAGTGGTTATTTCTATAGGAGGCATGCGCGGTAGAGTGAAGTAACAGTGATACAGGAGTAATAGAAGTACTAAATATTGACACGCAAGACTAGAGCCTCTCACAGCTGTCAGTCTGAAAATTTTAATATATAAGTCACACCTTAGTATAAATCACAGGACCACCCAAACTATGAAAAAAAAGTGTGACTTGTAGTCAGAAAAATACAGTATTTGTTACTTTTTTACTCAATAGGACGCTTGGGTCTTGTGGTGTATCCAGTAACTCCTATGAAGTCCTGACTCTGGGCACCAGCAGGAGGCCGGTCCCTGAGCTCCTCAGAGTGCAGATGGTTCATATTAGGGATGGGCATGATTAGTCGATTAATCGATAATTGATCACTAAGAATTTCATCGATTACGTTAATTTTAATCGACAAACCGAATGTAGGTTGCTGTGTGTAGCGTCACCAAACAGGGGTCTGTACATGTGTCTCTCTGCATCAGAAGGAGCGAGACACAAACAGTCTGTCAGTCTGCAACGTACCGAAGTGCAAATGCGTATTTAACAATGACTTCTACAAGAAATTCCAAGCTTTTCGTTGCGTTCGGGACAAGTGTGAGTCCATGTGCACAGTGTATAAAGCAGCACATATGTTTCTGTGTCCAGTGGGAAAAAGTTTTGCCAGGTGAGAGTCGCTCAATGTCGATGACGAGTCCCCACCTCCCTCCCCCCGTACGGTGTCCTGGTTTTGACAAACGCAAATATGGTCACACTAACCTGTATTCCACTGAGTCATGTCTTTTAATCCGACAGAAATTGAACTGCATCAGAGCACAAGAGCTGTAGTTTTATCTTCACTGAGTTTATGCAAATTAGCAGTTTTAAGTTTCGTTTCTGTGAGAGTTGCGCAAAACTGAATTAAACACATTATAATGTCAAACGGATGTTACGTTTTAACAGTGGTTACGGTTTATTTGTCGTAAAGTTGAATTTATTTATGCAGATTAGTAGTGCAGATAGTAATAATAATGATGATCATTTTAATATAAAAACGTTAATGATTAATCGATAATCGATCGTTAATTCTTCCGACGATCGATTAAGAAAATTTCATCGAATGCCCGTCCCTAGTTCATATGGCACGAACATGTCACAGATGTACTTTGGTGCTCGACCACGGACAGACTAATCCAAGAATCACTTCATTACTGTTTTTTTTCTATTGCGATTAATCTTGCAGCACTAGTACAAGTACATGTTTGAAAAGCTAATACTACTACGGCAGAGTCATGCACCTGCACTGCAAATAGTTGCTGAAACAGGCGAGTTTTAACGTTCTAGAATTTTACGGGCGGGTAATGATTACTAAACCAGGACTAGTCTTGGACTTAAGAGAGAGAGAACAGTAAGACCTTGGAGCAGGGTGTCCACAAAGCGTGATCAGGTGACATCTCAAAACATGTTACACAGGTCTCCAGGAAGAACCGTTGATCGTCAAGGTCAGTTAAATACAATCAATCAATGAATCTGCCCAGAGACGACCTGTGGAAGTTAGCACTGATGCTACAACCTGGTACAAAGCATCTCTCCTGTGCGCTGTCCCTGTCTCAAATAAATGAACAAATAATCATCTGAGTTTAGCTCCTTGGGGCGCTGAGCTCTGGTCCATTTACCTGCCAGTCATGCAACGGTCTATACGCAGGCGCACCTCTGGGCCCGCCCCGACAGTGAGTCCTGGTTTAGTCTTGTTTTAGTCCTATTTTAGTCTTATTTTAGTCCAATTTTAGTCCTGTTTTAGTCCTAGTTCAGTCCTGGTTTAGTCCTCCTGGTTCAGTCTTGGAATCAGTCCTGGGTTAGTCCTGGTTTAGTCCT